ATGGCTGGTGTTAGTGGGTGTAAGAAGCACAAGACACGACTGCGTACCAATTGCCCAATTTTTTGAAATCCTTCATATTTACCAGAGACCGTTTTTCCCACAAATGCTGATGTGATGAAATATTACTTGTTCCTTAAAGACAAAATGACATATAGATCTGCAGAGATCCCTTCAGTTGCTGAAATTTCAAGTTGTGTTTCATCGAAAATCGAAGCATTGTGGCACAAAGCATCGATTCCAATTATAACACACAAGCGGGTTGTAGCGAAGATAAAAGAACTTCATGACAAACATCGAAATATGCTCAAGCCCTTAAAGAGGCGACAGAATGATCTTAACTATCAAGCAAAGATGCAAAAGTTTTGTACAGCTCCCTTTTAGACATCTTTTGTGCAAGTTAGATGGCACCACAAGTGGACCAAAAGCTTTCTCAGGTCCAATTGGTAAATTACTTCCAATCTGTGAAACTTTTCCTGTAAAACATTTTTCAACTATAGAGATGAATAGAATAGAATAAATAGATCGCTTCTCGGCCTAATGGCTAAGATCAAGTGTAGTATATGTTCTTATTTCGGCTCCGGACCATCTCACAATTGGTTACGGTGTTGTTAGAAAACAGAAACAGCACAAGATTGAAACCGTGACAGTCGATAGAGGTTCTAGGCGTAGTCGCTTTTTCAGTGTCTCCTTCTACGTCCGGACATTTTAAAGCGATCCGTCCACTCCGGACGTTAAATGGAGATAAACCCTTAGGTGGGCGCTGCTCAGTTTCGGCTGAGTGGCAACTAAACCCTTAAATGGGCCATACTTAAAACCCTTAAATAGGCCATAATGCGGAGTTTCGGCTCCCTAATAATACCGGCATTCTAGTAAGACCCTGTGTAAGTCTGGTTTCAGCAGCAGGTGTCCCTAGTTGGTTGGCAAAAAATAAAATAAAAATAAAATAAATGATTAGTTTTCCAGATGTAAATTTTAAAGATTTAAGCACAGATCAAATGTATTTATATAAAATGTGCCACGCAGTGAATAATGGTGAATGCCCAATAAATCTGGCAAATAAGACTCCAAGTCCTATAGTTCACTCGCACTGGCTGACAACAGCTAGCAGAGTTCTGCGATTATATGTTTCGATGGAAGATCCAACTGAAAATCTAGTGAGTCTTACAACATTTGTTGTTAAAGTTTACGCTCCTACTTGATTTTATATCAAGACAAAATCATCTTGTACTCAAGGGGCACTCCATCTATGGAGAATGATAAACTTTTCAAGGTACCTTAAAAATGACTTAAGATGTATTGTGGATGAGGTAATTCAGAGAAATGCTTATTTCAGTCATTACGAAAACATTCTGCTTGCAATGTTGAGTGATGAGCGCGAACACATAAGGAAACTGGCATTCAGAAGAATCCTTGGTGCAAGGGAAAAAAACAGTCAGTCACTAAGACGCTTTTGTGTGCCGAAACTTTATTTCGAAGCAGATGACTACACTAATCTAATCGACTGGAGTGTTGTCCAGAAAAGCGAGCCCCCTGCTACAAAGAACATCTCAACTCATGAAATAAAGTCATTTTTAAATGGTGTTTCATTGACTGAACCAGTTTTAAACATTCCAGAGTTTCCATGTCACACTCAGTCAACTGAAAGACAAGTTAAGCTTGTTACTGAAGCATCAGCTACTGTTTGCGGTTTTGATTGCAGTGATAAAATGATTCGTGCCACACTGGAATCAAGATCAAAGACAAAAACTTTCAACACTAAGTCTCAGTTTCAACTATAAAGATTTAAACAACTGTGAAGTTCTTGGATATATTATACATTTGTAATGTTATTTAATATGCCTATAAACAATCTGAAATATGTACGAAATTAGTTTGTATGAATTTAAATTAAAGTACTCAATTTTCAAGTGGCTTGGGGCAGACCTAATTATAAACCTAGGGCCAAATGCTTTATCCGCAGTTTTCCTTATACTAAAAGGCTACTTTTGCATACCCAGCCATCATGAATTTGCAATTATAGAAAATTATTAAACTTTCGCCAAAAACCACAAAATGGACAAAAAAACCATATTTTCGAGAGCTTTGGGGCAGACCTAAAAATTAACCTAGGGCAAAATGCTTTTACCACAGTTTACTTTAAACTAAGAGGCAACTTTTGCATACCCAGCCAACATGAATTTGCAATGATAGGAAATTATTATTTTTTAAATCAAAAATTGCGAAATTAACAAAAAACTCAAATTTTCAAGTGCCTTGGGGCAAACCTAAATATTATTCTAGGGCAAAATGCTTTTACCACAGTTCATTTTGCACCCAAATGCAACTTTTCCATACCCAGCTCAAATAAATTTCTAAAAAAAGTTTTTTTCACTCCACCCTAATGTAAAATCAACTTAGTTATTGTTACTTGCAGAGAAAATTCTACACTTTTATCAAAATGTAGATTAGCTACCATTTACATAGAAAGTATGAGGCATGACTTTAATTTGAAATTTTAAAACAAAAACAAAACACACAAGTAACATTATTAATCAAATATAAAAATTTTTAAACATAAGGCAACCCAGTAACTACTTTGATAAAATATTTAAATTTATTTAATTAAAATAAATAAATTTAGAAATGATTTAAAATAATTGAATTAAAAATAATTAAATTTGTTTAATTATTTTATTGAAATAACTTATTTAAGCGTGGAATCGACCTATTGTATTGTACAAACAGAGTGCTCAATGTTCTTAAAGAACAGAGCAATAGTAAATTAGTATGAACACTTATCTAATTTTGACTGTCGAGGAAAATCAGATAAGTGTTTTTACTAATATATATATATATATATATATATATATATATATATATATATATATATATATATATATATGTGTGTGTGTGTGTTTAAACAGTTTCAAAAATGTATTCTACATAATAAAGTGCTCAATGTTCTTAAATAAACAGAGCATTTATAAACTAGTAGAAAATCACTTGACAAAATTTTTTTTTCATTTTACACTGTGTTTCATCAATAAACACTCATCAGAAACTTCTAATGAGTCTTTATTGATGAAACACATTGTAAAATAAAAAAAAAATAAAAAAATTAAAATTTTTGTTAAGTGATTTTCTACTAATTTATATATATATATATATATATATATATATATATATATATATATATATATATATATATATATATATATATATATATATATATATATATATATATATATATATATATATATATATATATAATAAGACCGTAAGCACTTCTGGGAGCACCTAAATACAAATAAAATATATATATATATATATATATATATATATATATATATATATATATATATATATATATATATATATATATATATATATATATATATATATATATATATATATATATATATATATATATATATAAAGATAGATTTTTTTTTTTTTTTTTTTTTGAGATATTAATTTATACTAGTAAAAAGCAACCCCTAATACGGGTTTTGGTCGGTCTGTTACATAATCAAGTTATAGTGGCTGTTTTCCACAATTTAATGTTGCAAAACCTTAACTAATACCCTTTTAGAAAATCGTGTTCGGCTTGAAAAAATTAATCCATCTGTAAAATTAACAAAACAAGCATGAGGAGGTAAAATAATTTACCAACTACTACTTAACATTTTTAATTATTACTCAACATTATTTAAATAATTTACAAATGGCATAGGTCACAACAGTGTAAAGCAGTACCATTTTCATCGACCTTCCTAAGTTTAACACAATACGTTTTTAGTTACAAAATAATAACACTTGGTCATGCTTTAAATTAACGAAAGTATCAACTAAATCCTTGTAATAATTTTTATAACACGAACCATTAAGATTAAAATGAAGTTATCTTATATTATATAGGAGTTATCAATTTTTTGATATCCCCTTGATTAATTGTTCTTTAAAAGAGAAAATTGTTAACTTAAAAATGATAAATGCACACATTTAAATAAATTTATATAAAAAAACAAAGTTTATTATAATTAACTACGCAACTGAGTACAAATACCTTTCAAACAAAAAAAATTTAATTTACGATCAAACATGGGTAAAACATATTTTTTAATGCATTAATGCATCATATGACAAACCTAAAATAAAAATTATAACAGATAAGCAGACATAAAAATTTGTAAACCAAACTGACCCGACCCGGGTCTTGTTATGTCTGTTCAACACACACCATTTCTATATTATTTGTTTGGCCTCTTTATTCATGAGTTTTTAGTAAACTGTAATTTGCCACCATTTACTAAAAATCCTTTTTAAACTCGAAATTTATTTTTCCTAAATATTTAGACACTAATAAAGAAGTTTCTCCCCTCTTTTTGCTTTAATGGTGGCCAGGCGAATAAAATAAAATAATAAAATGTAAAACAATGATCAATAAATATAATAATGTTTTCTTTCTTTCATCAAAAGTGTTGCAAATAAAGACTAAGCTAACTAATTAGTTAAACACATAAATAAAACTTTAGTAACTCGATATTAATGCGCAAAACTACAATATTCTCAATATTGTTAAAGGTTTTTAGTTACGACCCCATATTTACAAAGATCCCCTTAAAATAGGCACAACAAATTATTAGGCATAAAATAGATAAAATATAAAATTAACTAATAGCGTATATTTATATCTTTTTAACTATCAAAAATTTACAATAAAAAGAAATCAGGTTTTTTTAATTTATAAATCTTATAAATGCGTCATAACGTAATTCTAAAATAAAAAAGTAATGAAATTATGATATCATAATTACAAAGAAAAAAAAAACAACAAAAACAACCACACAATACACCAGTTCGAGCCGCGTTACGGAGAATTAAAAGAAAAGACTGGATCGAGTTTATAAGGGAAACAAATCAAGTCGTAAAATTTAATTCTTGAGTAAACGAAGTATAAACAAACAACTAAAACAAATCCTATCACTATTAAAACAAATATATAACATATATAAATCAAAATGGATTATGATACAGTGTGTAGTATGAAGGTTGAAGAACTGAAGTCTTATTTACGTCTTCGTGGCTTGAAAATATCTGGAAAGATAGAAATTCTTGCAGCTCGAGTCTATTGTGCAATGGAAAACAATGTTACGCCTATTAAAACAGCTGAAGAGGTGGAGCATGATATACTTACTGAGTACAAAAAAAAACTTTTTATAAACGGCGTTGAACTACCTGATCCTTTTAAGCTTAGTAATGGTTGGTTATCAGAAGATGAAGGTCTAACTTGTTGGCCAACATTGTTATATCCTGATATTTACAATTATTTGTTATTTAACCCTGCTGAAATTGCAAGTAAAGACTTAAGTGACTACAAAACGTGTAAAGCTTATAGTTATTTTAAATGTGGCTGGCTTGAACCTTTATTTTACCATCAAATAGGAATAGAGAGTGAATATTGCTATTTAAAAGGGAACTGTAGGAAATCTGAAAAAATTAATGATCCCTTTCACAAGCTATGGATTATTATTAATAAAAAAACTGCTAAAATAATTTCAGCACATTGCACTTGTCTAGCTGGTCTATCGCAGACATGTAATCATGTTGCTGCAAGCCTCTTTCGAATAGAGGCTGCTGTTAGAAATGGTTTGACAAATGTAGCTTGTACTAGTTCAAAATCAGAGTGGCTTCCAAATCGTAGCATAGTAGCACCAACAAAAATATGTGACTTAAAATTTGATCGTGATGAATTTGGTCAGCGTGGAAGAAAAAAGCGTTCACTAGTATCAAATGAAAAGCGTAATTACAGCCCATTAGTAAACTGTGATATAAAGCTTTTAAATTTAACAGACATAGCAAAAGCAATCGAAACTGTTGCTCCTCATAGCATTATAACTTCTGCTGTACCTAAACCTGAAATTTATTATATGGAAAAATTAATCGTGTTTGAAAATGTTACCAAACCTACAATTTTGACCATGGATGATATTATTGTTATGTCAGACAATAAATTTTCTTTTTGTGAAAATATAAAAACAAATATGACTCAAAAAATAATTACAAATATAGAGCGTCTGACTATGGGTCAAAACACAAATAAGCTTTGGTTTAATTTTCGAAAGCGAGTTATAACTGCTTCAAAAGCTCACGATGTTCTAAAAAAAATTAAAAAGATTAACATGGGCATTAAAGTTGACATGTGGTCATTACACCAAAGTATTTCAGGGTTAACTTTTGTGAACCCAGATATACCTGCATTGAAGTACGGGAGAGCGATGGAAGTTGAAGCAGCAAACCAGTTTTTTGAAGTTATGAAATCCTTTCATCAAAATTTAACTGTAAATGAATGTGGATTATTTTTAGATGTAGAAATGCCCTATATAGGTGGAAGCCCTGATAGAATTGTTCGATGTTCGTGTTGCCCGCCAGCTTGTTTAGAAATAAAATGTCCATTTTCTATAAACCATACATCACCACAAGATCCTAATATATCTCTTCCTTATATTACAAAAAAGTTAAATGAAAAATTTGTCATTAACAAAAAGCATAGATACTATACTCAATGTCAGGTTCAAATGGGGACTGCTAAGATGATTAATTGTTATTTTATGGTATGGACAGCTCATGGTTATATAATTGATAAAATTGCATTTGATGAAGCTGGTTGGTTGAGTATGAAAGTTGATTTCTTTAAGTATTACAACGATCATTACTTAAATACTGTCTTTGTAGATTTTACTATTAACTGATTGGAATAAAATTATGAAAATGAAAATCTGTGTTTTAAATTATAAAACCCTTCTTATATTTAAATTGGCATTTATAGATTTTTTTTTTCCTATAAAAGAAGACAATAAGATCCAAATAATGGTGTAACAATATTTAGGTAAAGAATATACTCAAAATCAAAAAGTTTATCCACGCCTCTTATTATAGTAAAAAGAAGTGATAAAATGAAACACATGTATTCATTAAAAGTGCACGGTGGTGTCCGGCATCCCTTACAAGTAATTAAAAATTAAAAAAACAGTCTCAGTAATTAAATAAAAAAATACAACCTCAGTACTATTGTGTGTTTAATACAAGAAGGGGAGGAAGTTTAGTAATTTTCCAAAAGTTTTCCCACCCACAAATGTTTATTAAGACCACTCCCCCTCCCATTTATTAACACCAAAAATTAAAAAAATCTCTTTAATCTTTGTGGAAAATAATGTTTTGATTTTAATAAAATAAACTTTTCCTCACTTTATACACAGGATGGCCACAGCTCCTCTAAAGTATTATTGTAATTATAAAACAGTTGTTAAAGATGCACAGTTGACCACAATCCACACTAACTTAAATTGATTTATGCAAGTTCTGTAAAAAAAAAAAAAAAGCCAACCCTTAAATTAAGATTATTATTTATAAGGTCAGAAATAAAATATACACCCTTTCTTGTATTAAGCATTTAAGAGTAGTACTAAATTAAAAAATATATATACATTTTAAACAATTTTTTTTATTAAAGCAGGCTTTAAATTGCACAAAGCTGCACACGATAAAATAATATCATCCATATGATGAAGCATTGAAATAGGTAATACATTTTTTAATATTCGAAAAGTTTTTATTCTGTTTATAGCCCTTTCTATGTAAATTCTTAAGTTAGCAACATCAGTAGTCTTCTTACATTCACTTGCAGTCATTTGACTTTTTACTCTTGCACCTGGTGGGACTGATAAGCTGCAATAACGAAATAATAGTTCTTCTCTTATTTGAAATCCTCTGTCTGCCATCACCTCATCGTCTCTTTCCAACAGATCATAAAAACCACTGTCACTTGTAATAAATTTATCTGATGCTCTGCCACCGTAACATTTGGATAGAAACGTTATGTATCCATTTGGTGCTATACCAATTAATACTTTCACAGTGTTGTGATGCTTATAATCAGACCAAGTCACTGCTTGGTTGTAAAGGGACTTTGGACGTTCAATAAATATTTCAAAACAATCAAGAATCACTCTACACTTGTGATGCTTTGCTTTCACAAAAGACTGTGGCAAGTTTTTTTTTATGACTTCACTTGGCAGCCAAACAATAATAGCTTGTCCAAGAATATTAGCAATAATTCTAATAAAAGTTGTAAAAGTATTAGAACACAAAGATTTTGAAATACCAAAACGATCAGCCATATCTTCATTTAATAAACCTAAGCGCAACCGCATAAGTGTCATTAAAAGTTCTTCTCTGTGTGATAACAGTTTACATTTAGATACAGATTTGAGTTGCTTAACTTTGCTATGTGAATGTTTTGGGCCTCTCCAATAACGAATTGAGGGTAAAAATGGTTTTAATAAACCAAAAATAACGTTAAAAATAGCTATGGAAGATATACTAGTATAAAAGTTCATTTTCTTATCATTGTTAACTAATCTCCAAGAGAATTTTTGTTTAGACTTGACTGTTTGTTTTATTTTTAATTTTTTTAATTGATTAGTAAGGCTATTTACTTTACTCACGTAAGAGGTGATAAGTGAAGATTTGTATTCACATGAAGTACATTTATTAGGTAGTGGTAAACTCATTGAATAGGTATGGTCTGATAATATAGGTGACAAAACATCTGCATTAAAACTAACACTTGGAAACTTGGGGACATTACTTTTTTCAGTCAACAAAGGTTCTACAGGCTGCATTTTATTAGAACAATGTAAAGAAGTGATTGGGTGCTTTAATAATGTTCTTCTAGCTTTTTTTTTGTACAGGTTGATCAAAACCCATATTTATTGTTGGATTAGGGTTCATAACAGTTGGTATTTTATCAACAAAATGATCAGAGCATACTCTATCAGCAGTTCCAGGTTCTTATGCACTTCCTTTCTTCTTTCCTTCTCGTCTAAGCTGACTAATCCAGTGTTTTCTTTTTTCGCTATTTCTCTTTAAACTTGGGAAACAAAACATTCGGAATGGTAACACACATCCACACTCGGATAATATCTTCCCTTCGTGTTGAAAACACGTTTTATTTTTCAGTTTTTCTAGCTTATAGGAACTATTGGTACATCCTATAACAGCACAATTAACTTTCATCTTATCACTATATATTGTATCACTAATTCGCAACTGAGAAAATAAATATTTACCCTTCTAAATTCGTTCCAGGACTTTTTTTTGCGCGGTATTAATAATGGCAGAACTTCCCTTGAACTGGTGTATTACCAAAAATCGATTTACCTATATAGTATATAGGTAGATATATAGTAACCTATTTTGAAATTACAGTTAAAGATTTATCAAAAATGTAACAATAAAGCCTGTTTTGAAGTACCAAAGCATTAACAATACTGAAAACAAAATCAAACTAAGATATAAATTGTTGTTCTGGCGTTTATAATTTAAACATATATACAACTATAAACAAATATGACTTTATGTAATACGTATAAACACATTTTACAACTATTGAATGATAGATATATTTACCAAAAACTATGAAAAATAAATAAATAATAATAAATAAAGTTATACATGCAAAATGTGCTCACAACCTTTACGAGTAAATTTTCGGAATGAAAATCTAAAGACTATAAATTAAGAACAATAAAAAATATAACAATATTCATGTTACATTTTTTTACCTACTATATCTTGAATAAGATGTTTATCAATTTTGAAAAACAGACTATTAAATGCTATAGTTCTTGCAAATGCAGCATATAGTTGACCATGAGAGAAACACGGTTTTTGAGATATTTCTTTTGTCTATTTGTTTAATTTCGCGTTACGTGATATATAGACGATTCTTAAAAGAAAATACTTAAAACTAAAAAGATTTTATTTATAACAATATTTGAACAACCAAGGGACAATTTAAAGAACTATATTTTTAAATAGCAAATTATCAATCGCAGTTTTTAAAACTACGCAAGAGCTTAATAACTACAGAGTTTATTCAGAGCTCAGTAATTACAGAGTTTTATCAATTCTCTCTCTACAATTCTCAATACTAATTCTTATTTAAGTCTCATCTAAGAGAGAGAGAGAAAGTGTTTTAAAAACACCATGTTAGAAAAAGTAAAAAAGTCATGCAATAAATAACAATAACTGGTTTTATTATGCTACCAATAAAGAAAATTTTTTTTACCTTAATTAAAAGTTAATTTCCAGCATTTTTTAATTAAGTTCCAGCTTCTCTCTAACTGTTGACAAATGATTAATATTGTAAATTTCACATCATGTTAAATTTACAAAATTAAAACCATGTTTCAACAGTAAGCATAATAATCAAGTGATGACAAAGACAACTAAAAAAAAATGAACACAATCATTTCTATGATTTAAAAAAAAAAAAAAAAAAAAAAAAAAAATTATTTAAAATTGAAACTGTTATTATTTGTTACTATAAATAGTAAAATTCATACTTTGCTTTATTTTAAAGTGTCTAATGTAAAGTCAAATAATAGACATTAACACCGCTTGACACTGAATTCTGGCAAGTAAGTTTTCGGTTCATCGAGCAAAATTTCTTATATTTCAACGACAATTAATTTCATCACGCCTAGATCTATTTCTTTCATATGACAACAATTTCAATTCACCTATAACCATTTACACTAATAACTTCTTCCAGCCTAATATTATACATGTGTTATCATGAAATATATATTACCAGTGATTATACTACTGGTACAACTGAATAAATGAACGTTTTACATTTTTACAACTGAAAAATATAAAACAAAATTTATTGACATTATTTTAATTTAGCAAAGAATTTAGAACACAATGCAAAGTTAATTGCATTGTTTTCAAAATTCTTTGCTAAATTAAGAAAGCCTTTAGGCACAATCTTAATGCACAAAAAGAATAAATGCAGAATCTTGTATAAAAAATGAAGCAACGTCAGTCTAAAGTAATATATATATATATATATATATATATATATGTTTGTATATATGTTCAAATTTTTTCTATTCCTAATTTTTTCTATGCTTAATTATTCATATAGGTTCAGAGATATATAAAATATTTTGATATATAGGCACATTTATGTATATATACACTTACCTGTCAAAAATTACATTCAGTTTTCCATGTTAAATACATAAAATATATATCTAATATAAAATTAAACAAAACATTAAACTTACTTAAATCAGTAACAGTTCGACTGTCTAAATATTTTTATTATTAACTTCTTCTATTTAAAAAAAGAAACCAACGATTTGAAGTGGCTAAAAAGCACTTTAGCTCTTTCCAATTGCACTAAAAAATAAAATAAATCTTGCTTTGCTAAGTTGCCTAGTTCTTAAGAATCTGAAAACAAATAAGTAAAAAATCAAGAAAAAACAAACATTTATTACTAAAACTACTCTATTTAAACAAATTAAATTAAACAGAGAACAACATTAATACTCCTTGAAAGCTGAAAAACTTTTTATCTCAAATTTGCTTGTAGACCTTGCTTATAAAACCACTTGAATAAGAAAAGCATCAAAAAAGCCTACTTAAAAATGGTATATGCAGCATTAAACTTTAAATGTTGATTGGAGTAGATATTTTTGAAAAATTCAAAAAAATTTGTTCTTCTATAGCAAATAAATACACCATAAATCTGAAGTTAAAAATGTAACGAATAAGTAAATACAAAAAAAAACATCATATGTGAATTGAAAATCAATGTACATATATATATATATATATATATATATATATATATATATATATATATATATATATATATATATATATATATATATATATATATGTATATGTATATAAATATGTGTGTGTATATATATATACATATATATATATATATATATATATATATATATATATATATATATATATATATATATATATATATATATATATATGTATATATATATATATAAATATATATATATATATATATATATATATATATATATATATATATATATATATATATATATATATATATATATATATAGATAGAGATAAGCTGTGGTGATACCTGAGTAGTAGTAGCTAAATATTGTTTTTCTTTTGATAAACAAATTGTATTTATAGCGAAATGATGTCTTGAATGAATTTTAGTAAATAAATAAAAGCAGTGAGTTCTAATAATAAAACTACCTATTAATCATTTTTAACAGCTGACACTAACGTAAAGATAAACCAAAGGTAACAACATTACGCGAAAAATTATTAAAGATAAAGCAATGTGTTTTCCATGTTTTTTCAATGTAGACCTTGCTTATAAAACCACTTGAATAAGAAAAGCATCAAAAAAGCCTACTTAAAAATGGTATATGCAGCATTAAACTTTAAATGTTGATTGGAGTAGATATTTTTGAAAAATTCAAAAAAATTTGTTCTTCTATAGCAAATAAATACACCATAAATCTGAAGTTAAAAATGTAACGAATAAGTAAATACAAAAAAAAACATCATATGTGAATTGAAAATCAATGTACATATATATATATATATATATATATATATATATATATATATATATATATATATATATATATATATATATATATATATATATATATATATATATATATATATATATATATATATATATATATATATATATATATATATGTATATGTATATAAATATGTGTGTGTATATATATATACATATATATATATATATATATATATATATATATATATATATATATATATATATATATATATATATATATATATATATATATATATATATATATGTATATATATATATATAAATATATATATATATATATATATATATATATATATATATATATATATATATATATATATATATATATATATATATATATATATATATATATATATATATATATATATATATATAGATAGAGATAAGCTGTGGTGATACCTGAGTAGTAGTAGCTAAATATTGTTTTTCTTTTGATAAACAAATTGTATTTATAGCGAAATGATGTCTTGAATGAATTTTAGTAAATAAATAAAAGCAGTGAGTTCTAATAATAAAACTACCTATTAATCATTTTTAACAGCTGACACTAACGTAAAGATAAACCAAAGGTAACAACATTACGCGAAAAATTATTAAAGATAAAGCAATGTGTTTTCAGAATAGTTTTATTAAAGGCACATTTATAAAACAACTATATAACATATATCATCACATACACGTATTTATCATACATATATGCAAAGTTTTAACAACAATAAAACAACATTTAATAGCATCAATTATTTTAAATGTAACAAAGAATGCAGACTACAATGCACGACATTGTTAATAAAAATGAAGTTTTTTCAGTCAGTATATATTTATCTAAAGTAATGAAAAAGAATAAACCATTTAAAAACAAAATTAAAAATTTCTAATGAATATATATTTAGATACCTTAAAATGAAGCATAACACAACACTCTTTTGACAAATTCCAGAGCAAATTTTCTAAATTTTTTTATTCCTTATTATTTCATTTTAGAGAAAATATAGATATAGATATAGAGAAATATGAAATAGACCGAAATAAACGCAAACTTATGTATATAAACTTATATGACCACAAATAACAGTCTTATTTTATTTAACATTTCATATTAAATACATAAATAAAATTTTATTCTCATTATTCTTTTTATATAAAAAAAAATCATAGCCTATGTATGAGAAAATGAAGTAAACTTACTAAAAAAGCGATCATTTTGTTTTAA